AGTAGGAGTAGTAGTAGTAGTAGCAGCAGTAGTAGTAGTAGTAGTAGAAGTAGTGGTAGTAGTGGTAGCAGTGGTAGCAGTGGTAGTAGTGGTAGTAGTGGTAGTAGTGGTAGTAGTGGTAGTAGTGGTAATAGTGGTAGTAGTGGTAGTAGTAGTAGTTGTTGTTGTTGTTGCCGTTGCTGCTGCTGTTGCCGTTGCTGCTGCTGCTGCTGCTGCTGCTGGTGCTGGTGCTGTTGCTGTTGCTGTTGCTGTTGTTGTTGTTGTTGGTGGTGGTGGTGTTGTTGTACTAGTACTAGTACTAGTACTAGTACTAGTACTAGTAGTAGTAGTAGTAGTTGTTGTTGTTGTTGTCGCTGCGGCTGTCGTTCTGTCACCCACCTGGCTTTCCAATGACAGCTCCGCGGTGTAACGGTTGCCAACGGGGCACAGATGTCAAGGTCAGCTCTCTCAGAACAACAGCTCAGTAGCGATACCATAAGCAACAAGGCACAGCCGGCCACAACTTCTGCAAAGACTAGAACCAAAACGACGGTAGCCTCTTGATGCAGTTTCTTAACTGGGAAGGGTGTCTACAAACAGGACTGCGAGGAGGAAAACCGCATATTCATGCACCAAGGCCAGCCGCAAGTAGGAGTAGTAGTAGTAGTAGTAGTAGCAGCAGTAGTAGTAGCAGCAGGAGCAGCAGCAGCAGCAACAGTAGTAGTGGTGGTAGTAGTAGTAGTAGTAGTACTATAAATAGTAGTAGTAGTAATAGTAGTAGTAGTAGTAGTAGTAGTCGCAGTAGTAGTAGGTCTTGTTTTTTGTGGTTATGCTGGTTGCTCTTGTTGGTGCTGTAGGATCGGTAGTAGTCGCGGCAGCAAAAATTGGGACGACGGTGGCTCTAAACACTGACCGACGTGCCAAGCCAAGTTCCCCGAAGCGAAAAGAAGGTCCCTCTCGTTCTTGAAGTGGCGCTTCAGGGCACGGCACTTTCCAGGCAGAGTCACGGCACGGACCACCTTTGATGACAACTGGCTGTCATTTGCTGCACCTGCGACTTTGCATACCACTAAAGCTACCGAATGGTGCACAATGGCAGTGGCCCCTGCAGGACTCCCAGAGCTCTCACAGTCTCGGTCCATGCCCTAGCTTCTCTTTGCACCTCCTGAGAACAACAAAACTCTGCCGCCAAATTTTTATTGTCTTGCATTTGTTGGAAACGGGGTTGACGGATTAGAGGGGTAGGTGGCGCTGGCGGTGCTAACGATGGCGGTGGCGAATAAGTGCGTACATGAAAACGCTCAAGTAGTTATCCTCTCCAGCCAACATAGAATGCGAAATAAATTCATAGACATAGGCTTATCTCGAGAAGCGATGCAATCAGCATCTCAACACAGTGTGTGGCAAGGTGCGCCACCATTGGACTCCGTCTGGACCTGTGCCTGAACGAAAAGGCTCGCAGCGTCGTCCAGTTGACGATCCTCGCAGGGAAATGCAAGCGAGACCTTCGCCCTCAAAGCATACCCACCACGGTCACACGAATGACAGTGCCAAATATTCGCTGAGTGTCCTGTTACCCAAAGCCGGCATCAATGTGTCGTGTCATCCAAACATCACAAGCATGTGGCATGATCAGACCGAACTTAGGAACGTGGACTGATTTGTTGGCCTCCGTTCGACTGCAGCTCAAAGGGGCCAGTTTCTTTGAAGAGAATTGGACACAACACCCGTGTCTGTGCAAAGAGTGCCCTACGAACATCGCAGGGTCCAGGCTGGAAGCTCGAAGAACCGGAATGCTGCAGCTGCCGGCGCCCTCTGACAAGATGAGCTCGACTCTTGGATCCATGCCTGCACAGGAAAGTGAAGGCCCTGACTCGGAAAATCTCGGAAGATCGGCTGAGCCGATCATTTGTCTTACGCCGTCGCTTGGAGAAGTTGCCAATCAGAGCCTGCTAGCTCTACGTCTACACCCCTAGAGAGTGGCCCCAGAAAGTCTAAAGCAGTGTGTGGCCGGGCGGACAACGTCGCACCCAGGCCGACGAAGGGAGGTATGGAAGGGCAAAGGAATGACAAAGACAACAGAAGATGACTGTAGTGGCAACCTACCTTGTACCCTGAAAATGTGCATGCATTCAGGTTTTGCATGCCCATGTTTTTCAGATGTGAAGGCAGGGTGCTTGTAAAGATACAGGCTTGGGGAGGGTTAGAGAGAGAGAGAGAGAGTGAGAGTGAAAGACACTGAGAGACAGAGACAAAGAGCGACACAGGGAGGGAGAGAGGGGGAGAGGGAGGGGAGAGGGAGGGGAGAGAGGGGAGGGAGAGAGGGGAGCGAGAGAGCGCAAAGAGAGAGAGAGAGAGAGAGAGAGAGCGACAAAGAGAGGAGAGAGAGAGGGTCCAAACTGGCCGAGTCACTTGGCGCTTCCCAGGTTTCTGCAGCATCAAGGTACATGCAAGCGTTCACAGGTTCTGTTGCCAGGCCGGAAGAATTCCTGGGGCTTTTCAGGCTCTGGGAAAAAGTCTTCAGACTTTGGACTTCAGGCGGGAAAGTCTGCCGTGCGAACGCACCTGTTACCCGACATCCGATTCAAGACGTAGCTTCACCAAGCTGCGATGACATGCAAGTCACGCTCTCAGACTCGGACAAGGAAGGCTGTAGAGTCTATAGAACTCGATATGGTCTCACTGTGACACTGAAAACCAAATTTGCTCAGAGACGAGATGCAATGCCCCGGGCCCAGTTCGAGAGAGACAGAGGGAGCTAGAGAGAGGGATAGAGACAGAGACAGAGAGAGAGAGGGAGGGAGAGAACCAAAAAAAAATAAAACAGCGGCAGAGTCGAATTAGAGATCAATGAAAACAGTGTGCCCATGAAACCTGCCCAGAATCACCGCAAATACTCTCTGCATCCATGGATCTCACACTCCACGGCCACTCGGCTTTTCTGGGACAGCTCCACAGAGGCAGCAGCGGTCTGATCGACCTCCAACTAATAAAATGCAAGCACGCAAGAGTTGCGTCTGCCACCCTTCTCGTGTCGCAAAGGGTTCGAACCGCTTCACCAAAATTGTCAAAAAATCACAATTATCTGCAATGTTGTGCTTTGCGGCATCCGCAAAATAGACCAAAAAGCGCTTGTTTTGGCAATTTTTGAAAGTTTTTGGGAAGCGTAGAAGGGTCAAAAATCGTTTTTGGGAAGCCCAACCTGGTCAGAAATTACGGAAATCTGCACTTTTGTGCTTTGCCGAATCCGCAAAATAAGCCAAAAAGCCGGTTCTTTTGGCAGCCCAAAATGGTCAACAATCAAGAGCATCTGCAGTTTTACGCTTTCCGGCATCTGCAAAATAGACCGGAAGAAACCCCTTTATGTTGGCAATTTTGGAGGTTTTTGGGAAGCCCAAAATGGTCACAAATGGAAAATCTGCAAATTCGGATTTTCCGGCGTTTGTAGAATAGGCCGAACCGTTTGAGCAAACGGCTTCCCTTGCAACCCAACCTGCTTGGCAGTGTCGGCCAGCGCAGAGGTCTTCGTTGGAGCTCTTGCCGCCTTGGACGTTTTCAACATACGCTTTCCCTGCTCTTGCCCATGGATTCCTGACCCATCGGACAGGGAAATGACACTTTCCTGCCGACAGCGTCATGGCCTGCTGCAGTCGCATGTAGGCTGATGAGGAAAATCGCAGGCTTAGTTGTGAGATCCTAGTTGAATCCGCGGTGCTTTTCCACCCAGGAAGCCACAGCAGCCTCCTTTCCCCACCGACTCCACCTCCGGTGGAGCCGCGCTTTCCTCAGCACGATGCGAAAAGCACCGACCAAAATGGCACGGCGCAATGCTTTCATACAGAGCCAGAAAGATCCAATCGAAATCGACACTCACAATCGATGAATTGCATTGAGAGCATGTGCACTTCAAGTACATTCGCGCCTTGGCCGCACTCGTTGCCATCAGCAATCACCATCCGTTTTCCTAGTGTCCTAGTCCTATTTCATCTTCCCTCTCCTTCCGGTAGCAAACCGCTCGCTCGCTGGGTGTTTGCCTCGCTCTTGGCGCTACAGTATAGGAGCTTGAAGCGGTGCCCCTCGCAGCGACGGAAGTCCGATATGCAAGAGTCGAGCCGAGGGGAAATACCTCCGAATATGCACCACTTCCCTGTCAGCCAAGCGTAAACTCCAAGCTTCCTGTGGCACATGGAAGATCTCCGTCTCAATGTCCGCCAAGCTCACCTCAACAACTTATCATTGTTGATCTGCTGATCTGCTGTGCTGCCCTGGCTGAACCGTTACCCACTTCCAGCGCGCAGCCGACACGGTATCTGATTTACTGCTTGGGCTGAGCTGCAGGTCTCAGACCGACGAGATAGCTCGCACGCCTGCGGAAGATTGCCAACTTCTCCTCGGAATGTCTGCGCGCGCGTGCGCGTGCGGGTGCGGGCGTGGGTGGGTGGGTGGGTGCGGGGGTGGGTGGGTGGGTGGGTGGGTGGGTGGGTGGGTGGGTGGGTGGGTGGGTGGGTGGGTGGGTGGGTGTGCGTGTGGGTGCGTGCGCGTGCGTGTACATATATAAGATATAAGTATGTGTATGTAGGCATGTGTATGTGTATATATGTGTGTATATTTATATATACACATACATTTACCGACATGCAAAACTAGCGCACCAAGCCTGCGCCAAAGCTAGGAGCTTTAGCGAAACAACCCACATGCCCATCATAGTCAGTGAAAAGCCAAGGTCGCGTCCTCGGAGTCGGGAGTGTTGAGAACAAGTAGGCCATGCAGGAGGAGGCAGTGGTACACGTTGCACCAGAAGGCCTTGAGCTCTGCCTGGCTCCTGAAGCTAGGGGGCAAGCATGAGGCCCAGGTGGCGTCGCTAGGTTTAGCTACGGGCTGCGCTGGGATAGCAAGCTTGTAGCCCCCACCACACATGGAAGAAGAGAGCAGTTTCCCACCGAGGTGCCACAGATTGAACCTGACGGCCTTGAGCATGCACGTGCTGTCCAGGAAAGCCGCCAAACTAGTGTGCGAGGGCTCCGAACCCAAAGCCAGAGCCTTGGAATCTCAGACGCTCAGGGCCCCGAGCAAAACCAAGGCATGAAGGTAAGCGAATATAGACTCTGTGGATACGATGGGTTAATGTGGACCGTCAGGGTCTGCATGCAGACGGGTAGACCTGTACTGTGGATGCTGCATCCTGCGGGTCTGTGCATTCGGGGCGCCAGCTCAAGCAAGTGCGCTGCCGCATCTGCAGAGAGAGGGTGGGGGGCCGCGCTTGTCAGCAGCCGATCGTTCCTGGTTCATGAACGAAAACCTACAATAGGCGGTTTGCAGGGGCCATGAGCGGAGCTGTGAACGAAGATTCACCACCTTAAGAGTTCTTAGCATGGCATCTTTGGACTTAGCTGGCGAAGCTCGAGGTTTCATACGGTTCACCCTGTGCACATGACGTTCTTGCCGTTCCATGGCTTGCTCAGGGGCACACACAGAGTGGGTCGCCGAAGGCTTGACGAAACACTCGTAGCCACAGTGCGGCCCTGGCTCAAGACATAGCGAATGTTGGGCCAGCGCCCAGCGCCAGTCGCATCCAGAAAAGGGCCATGCCGGTTGGGAATGACATCGCTCCCTCGCGAATTTCTGCTCCTGGGGTACAGGCCGAGTCGCAGCTTTCGTTTCGGCTCAGGGCGGAATGTACCACGGACGCTACCACAGATGCAGGACCAAGAGTGTTCCTTATTTCAAATTCCTTACCGTGTCTCCCCGCTCCGCTAGCCGCTAGTCGGAACTGAACTCAGCCAAGGCTCCACCTGCCCGCCGCCTTCTTGGCACTGGCCACGCCGTAAATCGAATTTGGAGACATTGGGCCCGCGGGGCCGCTCGCCCGGCTCACGCTGGCCGCCTGTGCAGCCTGCGAGCGACGTTTTTTTTTGGCTTTCAGAGTCGCCTTAAGATGTCCAGCAAAAGGCTCGAAGGAACCCTCTATCCCGTGCAGGCTGCAGGCCTCTCTCAGGGCCGCCACCCACTCGTCCCGATCAGGAGCGTGGGCACAGCAGAAAACGTAGGCCCTCAGATCTGTCTGCACCTCACAACGCCCGAGTTCTCAGGCGACGTGCATCTGGCTTCGTGTCAGTTTACAGGCATGTCGGCAGCAGGAATGTAGAATTGCACCAGAGGCCGTCGTCCGACTGCGCAGTCGGAGTTTTGCTCAGCGAACGTGCAGCATCGCAAACAACAGCTCCTTCTGCCTCCTACTTCGCAGGGACGAGACCGCGTTGTAGGTGGTGTAAAGCCTATGTATCATTAAGGCTCTTCGCCACTTTCGGGAAAGGAAGAGAGGCAGAGCCGGCAGAGCTAATTTCTTTTTTGAGCGCAGAGTCTAGATCCGGGGTTCGGCGAGGATCGCACCTCGAACAAGTGGAAGCGGTCCAGGAACTTCTGCGACAGGGCCTCCACCCGTGTGATCTCCTGTGCAAAAATCTGAATGTTCTGGTGCCGCCTGGTTTGGTGGATGCCGGGAGTTCTTTTGTGAAGTGGCCCGAAGCCCGAGCAGGTCCGTGCTCATGTTGCTACATCCTCTAAAACGATGGCTGTTGTGTTGTGCACACAAGCGCCAGCATCGAGACGTGCAATCCCCGTGAGCTCCCCGGCATGGATCAAGACCCGCGGCTGGTCACAGTCGTAAGGGCTGAAGCACCGTATGAAGTTGTCGGAGCTCAAGCGTAGCCTTAGTCGATTGCCATGTGCTGTTGACGAAGGGGTGCTTCTGGACCAGGCAGGCGCTGACAATTTCCTCCATCACATGTCGGGTCTAAGCCTATGCACTTCTGAGAGCAAAGACGGGCAACTCTGATCACCTACGTCGCTCGAGCAGTCACGCTGACTGAAAGCCTGATCCGAGCAACAGACATGCACATGCAACGAAGACGAGGCAGTCTTTAGGGGTCTCCTGATCTTAATCATGGCTTCATCACTGAGGAAGTCCAAGCTGCAGCTCCTCACAGATTCGGCCTTCGAAATGGATAGCTCCAACCAAAGCCTCCCTTTTGGCCCCCTTCCTGAGATGCGCATTTGTTCCCTGACTGCTTGCAAACGGTCCGGCATGCACAAGCGCAGATGTTAGATATGTCTGGTGCCTGGTAGAACAACCTTCCGATCAGGTGTGAAGGGACCAGCTTGCAGTTCAGAACATGTTGGGAAGGGCTAGTACAAACGACATGGGTGCTCAGGTGAACTTGAAGGCTCATTGACGGGCACGGGCAGACTAAGATAGATGTTGCTACACATATGTTCAGTATTCAGTTAGATATGTGTTCACTTTCTGTCCAAACAGACAATTTACGCCGTTTACGCTTCCCTTGCACCAAGGCGGCAACCCCTGTGCTGCCTGCGCGAAGGCGATGCCACACATTGTCCCATCCGGCTCCAAGAAGCCTGGGCCCGACTGCCCAAGTCCGGTCTTGTTCGCTTGGGAAACAAGATCTGCCGCCTTGTGGGTACATTGCACTATCCCGACAAAAGCATTAGCTGGCAGATACTATGATGTTCAATGTTGCATTATTGTACATGGGAACCAGGGAAGGACAGCAACAGGGGCAAGACCAGCCAGAAGTACTTTCAAGGTATTTTCTACTTTCTGAGCTTGTGACCCACGATCCCAAATAGCAGCCACAGTGTGTGCAGAGGGCCTTCTAATTCTAGCGAACGCATTTCGCGAAGACTCGATATAACGTACGTAGAGCTTTAAAACTAGGCAATACAAATAACAAAGGACGAGAGGCGGGGCGGAGGTTGCATCAATCGTGAAGGGCTTTGCGGACTGTCCGGCGGTGCGTTGGCTGCCTGAAGCACGGCGCTCCGCATCTTGCTGTCCTGCGATGTTGGGGTTTCTTCTCCGAGCACTTGATCGCAAGAAGTTGGTTAAATGAGAAGCCTGCCTGCTTGTACCACTTTCGCTACTCAGACTTTAACATACTTTAACCATGGCCTGCGATGCCGCAAGCTTGGAGCCATGTAGACCGCGCACCCCCCCCTATTTTCGTTTCTAGCGGAACTTCGGGATTGCTTTGGTGCCCAGCAGGCCTAACAACCCCCTGCCTGCCACTGATCTAGGTTTCCGGTTCTAGAGCCTGGAAGGCCTGGAAGCGAAGCTGTCGTGGCAGCCTGTAGCCGTGCGGAACAATGTGCGACGCCTGTCCCGTAACCGGCGAATGTCGGCGAACGTCGGAGACCAGCTTGGCATCGGGCCAACACAAACCGTTGCCTCAAGGGGGAAAGAGCCGTCCCCTTGCGGTCCTCTGCAAGATGGCTGGTAACGATGAGGCGGAACTGCTCCAATGTCCTCACGTCGCCTGGGAGATGTTGTGAAAAAAGACCGATGCAGGGCCAGGTCCAGGTCTGCTTCACTGACCGACAGCGAAGAAACACTTTCGAACCCAAATCTTGGTGCAGTCGCCGGGTGCGAACTCGTGGGCATCTTCATTTGTATCTTCACCCAAGACATGATGTGCACCCGCCGAACACAAGCCACATGGCTGAAGCCCTCCGGACCGTCCCCCAAAGGGACCAAGTCGGAGTCCGAGTTGCAACAGTGGTACTTCCGCGGTGCCGCCCCTCGGAGGAACCTTGCAAAACAGGCTTCTGAGGCTATGCGTGCTAGCCGAGTAGGGTGGCCCCCCTTTTCTATACCATCTAGACCTTTTGAAAACGGACCTGATGACTGCCAGCACGAGCCAGAAGTTGAAACAAAGCCCTGAAGGTCTTCTAGAGGGCGTCCGCAAACAGAAACATGCATATGTTACCGTGCTGGCATGACGTCATGCATGCTTAGCACGCAGGGGTTGCTCATGGTTACTCTAAACCCCACAGCGCCAAACAGAGACGAAGCCAAAGCGACCGCGAAAGCCGCCGCTTTGGACGGCAAAGGGCCGCGAGCTCTTCCTCGGATGAAAATTAGCAAATTAGCTGTTTCTACCATCGCCATCAGGCAGGGCAGATGCTGCGGATTTAGCTCAGCTAGATGGATGCCTCTCAATTTCAGGTGACATATCACATCGGCAAGCGAACACATCAGCAGTTGGCGTTTGCCGACGGCAAACAACCTAAGAACAGCCGTCAGAACGAACACTGGAGCCAAGACGGGTGTCGGGTTTCCGCAACCAGGCATACTGCGATTCAAGGGGTGCAAGAGGGACTGCGCTGCTGCAACACCCTGCAGCCAACCGTTCGAAACGTGAAGACCCAACAAGCACCGTGCCAAAGTTCAGCATCACGTGCCTGCCAGTAGAAGCCGCCATCAGCCTGAGCAACGGACTCAAGCACGACGTGCATTACAATGTCCCAACATCCAACAAGCCAAACCCACAAGCCTGAAACCCAAGCCTCGTATCAGCTTCAGGAACGAAAGAGACCTTGTGTAGTGATATCAGAACCGTGGTAAAGCTTTGAAGTTGCAAGCCCAGGCACGGACTCGGCCCGAAGGACGTACCAGCTGCGCACCTCTCGCTTAAAGCTTCCGGGGAAGGCTGAGCTTTGGGAAGCTTTGTTCCGATTTTTCTTCCTTCAATCGGTGCAAGGCTCTCTCCCAGAAATCAAGAAGACACCGAGCTCCTTGCTTTGGGGCTATATATGGACCCAAGACCAGCTGAAGCCCGTGAAACCTCTTGAGGATGAGAAATCGCAACCCTGACCACGGTGACCTGCAATACCGGAACAACGCCCCTGGAGTTGTCGCATGTCCATAGCCCTGGCACCTCCTGCTTGCGAAAGCGGCCGATGGCCTGGAGGTGTTCGGTTTACGCATGAGAAGCACTCTTGCACAGCCATGCACAGCCTGCCTGCGTGCATTACATTATGGACCCTTTCTGTTCAGCTGGGAGTATCTGGTGACGCAGATCGAACTGAAATCACCGTCGGTCCACGCAAAATCTCATACAATCCCATATGACCAAGAAGACACCACTGTCAAGACCCTGCGATGGAACCGCAGGACCTACCAGGCCACTAGGCACCTCGATGTAGAAAGGCACGCGGAAGTTGAGACCATTTAGCGAGTCGAAGCCCTGCCAAAGCGGTAGCTCCTGACGCGAGAGTGGCCTTCATGATCCCACAAATGGGCGCACATGTACTGGGCACTTGCTCTCACAGCTCTTCAAGGAAATCCTTGTCACTGACTCTAGGGATTTCACGCCACCCTCGCCCCTACAGGCAGCACACTGCAATGTAGAAGTTCACGTCGCATGCCGGCAGCCTGCAGGGCCCTGGCGAAAAGGTTGTTCAACTCCAGGCTGTCTTCGCTTAGATCTTCGGCGAGTTCCTGCCCAGTCACCGCCGAGATCTCACACCAGATCACATCAGGTCCCCGAGCTAGGTCTGCTGGCACTACCGAAGTCCAGATCCTGCAATATGAAATTCACCCTGGCTCGTCAGACAGAGGATGCATTGTTGGTGGGGCCATGCACTTCTGGGCGGTCCCTGACTCCCGAGCCCTTTCTGGCGAGGGCTGCTTGGTCTTACGGACACAACTTGATGCTGCTTATGTCCTGAAGCGAATCCACGATGCTCATGCTGTCGTCATGAGGCAAACCAGGCTCCTGTCCAGACAGGCCGTGCACACGACGAAGCTTACAAAGCTGCGCCTACTTCTGGCGAACGTGTCGAAAGCAGGTTGGAATTCGAGAGCTCCTGGTCCGCGCTGCCCTATGCAAGTGTCCAACATGGACATGGGCTTGATCCGGCTTGATCGATTTCACATCCCGCAGGTCCTTCTTAGGAGTGCCTGGCGGGGCGTCCAGCACCTTCAGTAACTCAACATGAAGATTGGATGTCACAACCCGGCGTGATGTAAGCATCCAAAAAAACTGGGAACTTCACCTCCTCTAAGGCTTTAAACAAAATTCAAGGGATGCACCGTCGGCGGATGCACCGCTGCCACGGGATCGTAGAATTCGTCTCCTTCGGCTCCACGCTCGAAGGTTGCTTCGAGGAGCAGGCTCTGCTCCTTAAGAATGCCATCTCTAGCAGAAAAACTGGCGCCCCTTCTTCGGCTCTCTTTGCAGCTCTGAAACGTAGTCTGGGTGGTGAGCGCTGCACTTGCCCAAGTCGTACATGAATAACCTCCACGACAGATGGAGTGCGGCACAGCCGCAAACATGGCAAGAGCTGCCGAACACAAAATCCGAAGCTACGTTCCGGCCATGCCTCGTTTGCGACGGATACAACTGTGCACACTCCTAGGAGGATGCTGTCCTAAATGGGCTCGAAAAATGCATACTAGCGAGCGCCACGCCTTCAGGCCCAGCTGCATCTCTCCTTCTATGTGTGAGGCGTCTCTGAACGGGCACCTTGTCGTGGAGAGATCCCCCAGGACATTCTCCAGCGGAAGTGGGCTGATGGCCGGCACCTGTCAAAGGGCGGCACTGCTTCATCCATGGTATCTTCACCAAACTCAACCCTCGTACCAGTCTAGCACTTTAGCCGCCGGTCAAAAGCCAAACAGCGCATTCAGCCCGGATTAGGAAACCGAACTCTCATGGGTGATGCAAGACGGCAAGCTTGACACGAAGAAAGCTCTCTCCGGGCAGAGCCTTCAGCAGCTCCCACGTACAAAGGTCGAGGTATGGAATCCTTCAGTTGGGCCAGGAGGATGTGCTGAAGGCCAAAGCGAGAGCAGCAAGCACTTGATCTGCAGACTTACTTGCTACAGATGGATGCTTGCCCACAGTTTGAGTACTGATCGCATTGTTGGGGCTTCTTTCATGTCACAGACAGCTTCAGGCACCCGTAGGCACGTCGCATGCAATGTTTGCAAGAAAAAGGCGGGTGCAACAAGAGTTGAAGGTGCAGGTGGGCTTGCTACGGCGTGGACCGACAGCCTACTTGCCAAGCATCTTCCAATACAAGGTGTACGTCTTGCTGGTGTCCACCTGATTGGAAGTGCACGAATACATGTCCGGAGTGGGCTATGGCCTTCTGGCTCCCTTGCTTGGACTCCCTTGCTTGGAGATTTCGAAAAGAGGCCAAAGACGAAGAACAGCTGTGGGCAGCTTACAGCCGCCGCATCCCTGGAAGGTGGAGACCAATTTGCACAAGCACAAGAGAGCCTCGAGGAGTCCAGGACCACCATATGGGATGGCATCCAGCTCCTAAGGGCAACTCAACTTACAGACTGGCTATGCTTCGACTGTCCTTCGTGCTCTGGCGCCGGGACTCCGACTCTGTCCAGAGTCAAATATGAAACTTTCAGCGAAATCCGCACACCAAAACAACCACAGTTTGGCAATTGCTTCTGGTACTGGAGACACTTGCGACTACACCAGGCCCCCTTGCATCGGGCGGAGTTTACAGGTTGGAAGTTCGAAGATCGAGCTACCGAAAGCGCAGAAGACTTGCTATGGCCGAGTTTCTGGGCTGCCCAGTTTTGGCGCCTCTTCTCCCTCTGAAGTGGCCAGGACTCGGAACAAGGCCCGCAGGTGAAATCCCATCCTTGCGTCTGACATGTCATGTCTTGACGACGTGTGTGTGTGTGCCAGAGTCCAAGGACACATCGTTGCACAGCCTGCGATATCCGGCCAAGCATCTGGCACGGGGCGTGGTCGTTGCCAAGGTCGATGTAGAAGCGGCCTCCGGGAGAGTCACCATGTGCTCTCTCGACTCCTCGAAGCGGCCCCCTAGCCTCCCGTTTTCTTGTTCGCGAACTTGGAGCCCAAAGACACGACGTTTCGCATGACCCAGCCGAGATTCCTGGGCTCATGGCACTCTGTTTCGATCTCCCGAGAGTGTCCTATACGGTCTCGTAGAGTCGTAGAGATGAACTCCAATGGCTGCCATCGGACGCCACAGTTCGCGCAAAAACCACGGAGACAAAGAAACAGAGAGAGAGAGAGAGAGAGAGAGAGAGATAGAGTGAGAGAGAGAGACAGAGAGAGAGAGAGAGTGAGAGAGCCTGCAGACAGCTCGGAGAGTGGGAGAAAACTCGGAGAAGACCCTACAAATCCCTACAAAGGCCCTGAAGCAACTCAACGCGAAAGACCGACTGCCCCAAATGCCCAAGACATTATCGCGCTGCAACTTAGCTCCGTTCGTGAGATTGAGTCTGCTTTCGACTGTCGAGTGCCAAGTTGGGCCAGGGGTCAGAGCAGCTCCGAGGGTTCCTCCCAGCCATATGTTGCTGGAGTTTTCCTCGCCTGGCTCTGAGACTGAGCTGCTCGCAGAAACGCGACAAGCCTTCTGCATAGAACATCACACGCTGGTGCACAAGAAATGGAAGGGCATATGCAAACTAGATAAAGAAGAGGATCCCAAAACAAGCTGCACAGCATGCTCTGAGTCTACTGAATTCTACTGATATGCAAGTGACCAAAACCCATGTACTTGCACACGTTGAAGATTTAATGCCTTTGAACACTGGTTGTTTGCAGGTTCAGGTATGTTCATGTAATTGGAGCAGCCAGCACACGGGGCCTAACGTTGCAGCCTCTGCAAACTTGCCCTGCATCTGGACGATCAATCCTGCATACTGCCTACTCGCTGCATGGGCAGACTCAGTCAGACATGTCGCATTTGAAACAAGACTTGTCGACTGCAATTGCCTCCAGACTTCCGGCTGCCACTACGAACGATTCTTCCCAGCAAACTTCAAGAAATGAGCAGATCCCTGCAGACCCAACTTTGACAACTCTTCTCGAACTTATCCCTTGGTCCCTGAATAAGAAAGGTTCTTTACAAGCTCCCAAGCCGTGGACTTCCAAACAGAGAAAGTGCAGTTATTCGCAGCCGAGCGGAACGCACCGCCATGCCTCGTTTCTGGGAGGGCTCGACTCTCGCAGATCCAGTCTCGCTCCCGGTGTCGTGGATGATGTGACAGAGGCCTCGGGGTTCAGTAATTATCCGTAACAGCTGGTGACGAAGCACAGCCCCTACTGAGACAGCACTGCCTCGAGGGCTGCAAAATCACTCCTCACGTCTTGCTTGCAATGGACGGTTGAAGTATCGGGCCTGGGTCTTGCAGCTTGGTTGAAACACCAATAATGAGTGCGGACGAGATGGCCCGACTGCAGTGATGGACTTAGGACACACTGAACCGGGTGCTTCCTTGCTCGCAAAGAAGGAATGCAAGAAACAAAAACACAACCTGGGGGTTTACAATTGAACACAGAACTGCATGGGTTGAGCGACATTGGACAAAGTCACGCTCAACAAATCAAAGAAATGGAATGGCCTGAAAATCCCGGAGCATCGATTCGCGTAGGCTCACCGTTGACAGCAACTGGAATCTTCTCTCCGGTCTTCCTTGGCCAGAAACGCATGCACAGGAACGGAAATACGGGCCCCGTCGGTGTCGCTTCTAGTGCCGGCACAGCATTCATCCGAAAGGCTTCTTGCAGAGGAGCTGCGACTTGACTGTGAAGTAAAAAGGACGGCTTCGCGACGGCATCCAGCAAAGCCCCTTTCGGGCAAGGATGCCTCAATAACTAATTAAAGGTCCCCTCGACCTGCGAAGCTTAGCTAATTCCAAAACATCATTCGTGCGGTTCGGAACTGCGTGTACTCTACTTCAGGTTCACCGTAGCAAAGAACTACAAGCACCACACAGCAGGAACCTGGTTTACTTCCTTTGATAACTCAAAAATGACGCAAACTACAGGTCGAGGACACGCAGCAATGCACAGCGAATGAATTGTGCCTTGAACCATGAACGGGCACGGGTGCAAGGCCAAGCGTCACACACGTCTCTGATAAGCAGTCAAGTTCGCGGGAATACACATCTATCAAATGAAAAAGTCCATGCATTGCCGATGTCTCATGTTGGGTACATCACTGGCACCGTCGCCCGTGATCCAACTGGCATTGTGGGAAGCATCGTATGGCATGGCACACCACCACCGCATCGGCAGTCACTGACATGTCATATATAACCACAAAAGTCATTGTCACAGTATCGACCATGATCAGCGACACTGTGACATACTGCCAGCCACACCACTGCCCGCGCACCACCATTGCAATCAACATCGCCATCATCAGCAAAATACGGCAACGTTTGCACGAGCATTGTTTTCTTCACATCGAAGACCATCAGCACGGTGATCGTGGTCATCATACCGCGGTCATCATCTGTCTGTCTTTCCGGGTCTGGCTGAGGTTCTGCGTTGACCTTGAGGTCGAGCAGTCAGGTGGGGGCATGCGATGCTTGTGTAGTACTTGGAGCTCAAAGGACCTGAAACTTCGGATCTGCCACATGCAAGGACACGATCTCGCGAACACTGTCTTACCATCTTGTGAACGCTTCTTCTGAACTTCTTCTACTCAGACTGCAACATACTGCAACATGATCCAGATGACCCAGCCCTCCGTGCCATCCTCCTCCAGCTCTTCTATGCATTGCTGCGCTCTGGCGATCTGCACGGAGCGAAAGATTGCAGTCTCTAAACGTCTTGGTTTGAGTTGCGCAGAGTTGCCTTGCCCACATCTTATGCAGGCACTTCACTAAACCTCTACAAGGACCAACGACCAGAATTACAGGCAGAGGTTCCGCTCGAATGGGCCTCCCCTCCTGGTCTGCAAGGCTTGCAGCCGTACAGCAAGTGCGCTGCAC